AAAAAAAAAAAAAAAAAAAAAAAAAAAAAAAAAAAAAAAAAAAAAGAAAACTTTAGTCAAATGTTTACAAGCTGAAAGTGATTCAAAATGGTGAATATTAAAACGCTTTAGGTAAAATGTGAAAACATGAGTCAGAAAACATCATTATACAGCCAGAATGACAAACAAATCACATATCAAATGAGAAAGCATTATGCTCAAGCATCCAGCTCAGTAATCACTAAGTAATCAGTGTCCTAAAGGCTGTAGATCTGCAGAAATGCACAGATGTGTCTTTCAAATCAAAGGGTCCTCTAATATTTACCTTGAACAAGAAGAAGGAGACCAGAGTTTGTGTAACACTACTAGTGGTTACCAAAAAGTTGCTAATGAGGAAACAATGCTACTCAATACAGAGAAGAAAAAATATAATTTAGTTAAAAATACTCATTTTTAACAGCAAAAGAAAGAAAACCGTATTACCTGTTCCATGTTGTACCCATGCTTTTCTTTGGCAATGGCAATGTACTCATCCACTGAAAAACAAGATGAGATAGCAGTAAACAAACTGAGGGAAAGAGTACAGCCTATGGTCCACTAGAATTAATATACATGTATAATACATGTATATTTCAGGCATGCTGATACGGTTTGGCTGTGTCCCCACCCAAATCTCATCTTGATTTGTATCTCCCACAATTCACAAGTGTTTTGGGAGGGAACCAGTAGAAGGTAACTGAATCATGGAGGCTGATCCTTCCTGTGCCAGTCTCGTGATAGTTAAGTCTGACAGGATCTGATGTTTTTAAAAAGTAGTTCCCCTGTACAAGCTCTCTCTCTTTGCCTGCTGCCATCCATTAAGACATGACTTGCTCCTCCTTGCCTTCTGCCATGATTGTAAGGCCTTCCCAGCCATGTGAAAATTTAAGTCCATTAAACCACTTTTTCTTCCCAGTCTCGGGTATGTCTTTATCAGCAGCATAAAAAAGGACTAATACATTTGCCACTTACAAGACTAAAAATAAAGAATAGATGGTAACAAAATAGAATTATTATAATACAGTTATTGATCCCGCAGAGAAACGTCTGAATAAATATCCTCAAATATTAACAGCAGTTATTGCTGGGTGATGAGCTTATGAGTCTTCTTTAAAAGAGAATAAGGCTCATGCCTGTAATCCTAACACTTTGGAAAGCTGAGGCAAGAGGAATCCCTTGAGGCCAGGAGGCCAGATCCTGTCTATGTTGTCATTATTTTAAATCATTAAAAATAATTTAATAATTTTTGAAAAGAATTACTCAGAGTTGGGTGTGGTGGCTCATTCCTGTAATCCCAGCACTTTGGGAGGCTGAGGTGGGCGGATCACTTGAGGTCAGGAGTTTGAGACCAGCCAACGTGGTGAAACCCAATCTCTACTAAAAATACAAAAAGTAGCCAGGTGTGGTGACAGGTTGCTGTAATCCCAGCAACTTGGGAAGCTGAGGCAAAAGAATCACCTCAACTCAGGAGGCAGAGGTTGCAGTGAGCCAAGATTGTGCCTCCACACTCCAGTCTGGGTGACAGAGTAAGATGGGAGAGGGAGGGGGAGGGGGAGAGGGACAGGGACAGGGACAGGGACAGGGAAAGGGAAAAGGAAAGGGAAAGGGAAAGGGGAGGGGAGGGGAGGGGAGGGGAAAGGAAAGGAAAAAAAGAAAAAACCTTTAGTTTTACTTAAAATTTTCTTCAACAAACAAGTATTATTTTAAACAGTATTTTTAGGAGTAAAAAGAAATATGAAATTGGGGTTCATTTTTAGTCTCAGCTCAGGCTGAATAATAAACAAACCATTCTTTATGTTTTGAGAAATTCTTAGAAATAGACTACATGACCCAATGCTTAGTATTTGCTTGCAAATATGTACCACAATACAAGGTGGCTAGCTTTCAAGTACTATGGAAAACACCAAGGAAAACAAATTGACTCAGTCTTCAGAAGAAGCTGCCACCCCTAAAGATAAACAATTTTCTCCCTAAGGATAGTCTGGTCTTTCTTCCCAAATGAACCAGAAAAGACAATGGACTCGCAGTCAACAGCACTGCCATATGTTCATGCGTGATTTTCCTTTATGAATTATAAAAATAACACAAGCTTAAAAAATAAAAAAAGGTCAGGCACAGTGGCTCATGCCTGTAATCCCAGCACTTTGGGAGGCTGGGGTGGATGGATCATCTGAAGTCAGGAGTTTGAGAACAGCCTGGTCAACACGGTAAAACCCTATCTCTAATAAAATACAAAAATTGGCCAGGTGTGGTGGCGGGTGTCTGAAGTCCCAGCTACTAGGGAGGCTGAGGCAGGAGAATTGCTTGAACCTGAGAGGCGGAGGTTGTGGTGAGCCAGGATCATGCCACTGCACTCTAGTCTGGGCAACTGAGTGAGACTCTGTCTCAGAAAAAGATCAAGAAGCATAGAACTGTATGAAGTAGGCAGTACAATCCTATTCCATCTTGGCTCCAAAATCTCACTCTCTAGGTATAATGGCCAAACTTAAAGAAAACTGGCTCAGAGTGATCCACTTTCCCACTATGACACAGAGTAAACAGAGGGGTCCTAATAGAAGTCCAAGCTTCTACATCTTAGTTTGCTATGTGATTATACCCAAAGCATGCTCTCAGCTCTGGGAGAACTGTCCAACCAATTTAGGAAAGAAAAATCAATTTTGAAAAAAAATTCCAACTCTCATAGAGAAGCATGTATTCTAAAAATTGGGGGAAAATATTCCATAGACAAAAGAAAAAGTCAATCCAATTCAAATAGCAACTAATTATATACTGCAGATCAATATTAATTCTAATACTAAGCCACTAATTTTCCATTTGTTTTAATACTTAAAATAGTTACAAACTGGTTACTTCACTCAGATTATAGTAAAATTTCAATTTACTTGAAAGTCGGTAAATGACAAATGAAATGACCACAGCTCGTCACAAAACTGATGATTTCAAAAAGCTGGGCAGTGGCCAGGCGCAGTGGCTCATGCCTGTAATCCCAGAACTTTGGGAGGCCGAGACGAGCAGATCGCATGTCCAGAGATTGAGACCATCCTGACCAACATGGTGAAACACTGTCTCTACTAAAAATACAAAAATTAGCTGGGTGCAGTGGCACATGCCTGTAGTCCTACTCAGGAGGCTGAGGCGGCAGAACTGATTGAACCCAGAAGCAGAAGTTGCAGTGAGCCGACATCGCCACTGCACTCCAACCTGGAGACAGGGTGAGATTGTCTTTTTTTTTTTTTTTAAAAAAAGCAGGGCAGGGAATTACTCCAAAGCGTGTCCCTTGCTTTTCACTTCACAATACAGTAGATTATGCCAAATAAAAGTGCTCTAAGTTTCTAAAAAAATGTCAGATGAGGCTGCTCGAACAGGTGGCTCCAGAATCCTGCTGAGAGACACAGGTAATGTGTGGGTTCATACTCAAGATGAGACGCAAATGGCAGCACACCAGACCTAAAACAAATGGCAGGCCAGCAGATTAAAACCCAGGTAATGAGATGCACTCAAGGATATGTAAGGACAGAAGGCAAAAACAATCTGCAGTAAATGAAGGGTGAACTCTGGAGAAGGTCTGCTTGTTTGAAACTGGCTTTAAGGGTTCCTTCCTTTAATAAATACTTGGCAAATGAACAACAAATGAACCTTAAACTTCTGCTGTATAATCTCAAGTCTGAGAGCACACTAGTATTTACCTTAACTGAGTAAGGAATGTATGTATGATCGCCAGTGACATGATCTTTGAGCAAACACATGCACAGGCTGAACAAGTGATGCAGGAGGCCCTGATGTGGGCGGGTCCAGGAGCTAGTCCTGCCGATGGTTCTTGGGCAGATATTATCTGCTCAAAGTCCCTCCTGCTACATCAGTAACAAGGCCTGTAAAGCCTGTGGCCACTTTCTCCAACCAGATTTAGCTACAAATTATAAGAGACACACAAGCATTTATTGAATGCTACTCCATTTTCATCTCTTTTGTTTTTTAAGAATCAGTTAGTGGTAGGAACAGTAAGACAGTAACACAGTAGATTCCAAATGCTGCAGCTGAAGTTATATAGGACATCTGCCGTACTGTAAACAATAAGGTATTCTTACAAAGGTGACCTTTAAAGTCACATAACTTCTACATTTTCTTGGATGGCCGGGTGCAGTGGCTCACACTGGTAATCCCAGCACTTTGGGAGGGTGAAGCAAGAGGATCACTTGAGGTCAGGAGTTTGAGACCAGCCTGGACAACATGGTAAACCCCCATCTCTACTAAAAATACAAAACTTAGCCGGATGCGTGCGTGTAATCCCAGCTACTTGAAAGGCTGAGACAGGAGAATTGCTTGAATACAGGAAGCAAAGGTTGCAGTGAGCCGAGATTGTGCCACTGCACTCCAGCCTAGGCAACAGAGCGAGACCCTGTCTCAAAATTTTGTTGGAGGTCACCCTGATGACTCAAATCTACAGTAAAGGAATAAAGCGCTCTACTGTAACTACTTAAATAAAGACACATTGTGTGTCTACTATGTGCTCCTTAAGTTAATGTATGGAGAGCCCTGAAACCTGTAAAAGGAATTACCATCTAATACCCACTAGCAAATATATAAGTTTTCATTCTTTTCATCGTTCCCAATGTCCAACAAAAATTAGACAAACATTTGCTGAATGAATGCCTGGGGTGCTGTGATAGGCACAATGTCAGCATTCGAGGCTTCCTGTCCCACAAGATAAAAGGCAGCACAGGTTATGTACGGGGTAAGAAAGACCCAGGTCAAATCCTGGCTCTATCTCAAAATAAAATGAGTTGTCTAGCAGTACATGGCACACACTCAGCACTGTATTTAATGATTATGTTATCTTTAGCAATGTACTGACCTTCCCAAGAATTAGTTCTCATCAATAAGGCCAGGTTTATCACCTAACTGGGAAAACGACACCACAGTAGGTACTCCTTCTCCCTTCTTTACCCCTCACAGAATATTCTAGACTAGAATTTACTTAGACTACAGCCATCTGCACAAGCAATGCTGCTGACCGACCTTGTCTCTTACTGCTTTCCTACTCTACATAATCATCAGCTTTTGTTTCTTTAATCAAGGGACACGGTTATCTATCATACTTTTGAGAATCCCTGATGCTATTCCCTTCCTACCACTTGCCTTGTTCTTTTATAATGTTATACCAGCAGCTGCTGGTAGGACAGCAATGAAAATGAAAAGTACACTTTTTCAAAACTACTTGAAAGGCTGTGGTTTCCTTAGGTGAAGCAAAAATAAGCACTCAACCCAAGAAAATAAAATGTGTTCCCAGCTGCCCTCATAAAAAAACAAAAGATAAGCAGATACTTAAAAGTCAGTAGATAAAAGACGAAACAGGAAGAAAGAGGAGCAGGAGAAATATAAGCTACCTACAACAAGCTGCTCTTAAACAAAACAGGGATCTGTGGGGACTTTTCCAACTCTGGCAACAACAATCTTAATTCTGCCCCTTATCAATTAAAAATTCACCTATCTGGAAGTG